AAAGTTTGCCAAAAAGTTAATCAGAACTTGCCCAAAAATTGTTTCCCCTTGTGGAACACGGCATTTCATTTGCTAGAGGCTTTAGGAGAGGTCAAGGAGGATAAATCTCCTTCCCTTGCAGCCTCCGCTCCTTAAGAGGAGCAGAAAGAAAAAAAAATGGGAGGAATGGCCTTCATGGCTCCCTCCACCTCCATGTCCTAATCCTGAAATGTTTAATTTGCCGTTAATAGAATCACCTGTGCAAAAAGGCCAAATTATAAAGAAATTAGAATATTAAAAGGTACTCCTTAAAATCAGGCTGAAAAAAGAGTGCCATGGTCATCTTAATGTGTTTTCTTATCTTAATTTGTATTTGGAATCTAAAATCTGTAATAAGAAATGAAATCCCGCTACCGAATCCACCTCTGGTGTGGAGAGATTCAAAGGTGGCAGGAAAAGGCAGAGCTATAAGCTCTCCCACAATGAGATTACTTAATGTTTTATTTAAAAATTACCGGAGAACATCTTATGACAACCAAACTTTGGCTAAGATAACCTTGGGTGCTAGCCATGACTTTAGAAAGTGAAATAGGGAAAAACTTAAAATGTCTTTTTCAATAAAGCATGACTTTGGGAAAAATATGCCATCTGAGTCATTTGCTGAAACTTCCCCCAAAGCAGGATGTGGGGAAAGGGAAGAAGGAGCACGTGTCGATCCAGTGTGGACGCCCCCTCCCCAAGTATTCTAAAATTAAAGTCCTTCTTGTAATTGAATAGCTTTTACTAATTCATAAATGCATCCGGGATTTCTGTGCACATGTAAGGGGAAAAGGCCAGCTTAAAAACGAGTGCGCATAGTTTTGAGCTGAACTTGACCTTTTGCTGTGTACAGAATAAAAACCCGAGACTGTTTGGGCCTTAAAAATGGCGGAGATGAACCTGAGAAAGAAATACAGGCTGGTTTCCCAAGGCAATTTAAAGTAGCTCTTTTGAAATTTCCCGCCCTGAGGCAAGTACCACCAGGAAGTTGATAGTCAAGTTTACACGTGAATAGCTATGGTTTTGCTTCTTGACTTCCCCAGCAGGAAAATTGTGACCATTGTGAAATTTAACAGCTATGCCAGGCTTATTGGCTGGAAACTTAAAACTTTTAAGTTCAAATCATCTAAAAGTATTGAGATTTACAATACTGAAATGTTGATCTGAGTATGCTAGTATGAAGTCTAGAAGATAGAAGTTAATCTATTAATTGAAAATGCCTTATATTTTATTTGAAATGTATCCTTAAATGTAAAAGTATTGATTTGAAAAATGCTAAGTATTTAATTTGCTATCTAAGATTTAAAGCTCTGAACGTTTTTAAAGTCTCTTTTTTTAAGAAGATATTTTTAATGCTTAATAAATTAGCAATCACGGTCTTAATATAATTTCAGTGGTATGATAGACCAATGTTTTAAGCAGTTGGCTTTATAAGGGCCAACAATAGAGCTCATATTTCTTAAAAGGCTTGTAGGTAGATACATTTTTAAAAGATATCTTAAATTCTCAGTAGAACCACAGTTATGCATATATCATAAACAAATTAAGAGTAATTGATTCCATGGTCAAGACTAGATCCTATTATGTTGAGAACTGTTTAAAAAGTGTTGAAAATGTTTTAATTAGATATGTATTTGGAAGTTTTTCCTGAGTGCAATATTTTAAAATATAATATGCTTGGTTGCATAAGGAATTTCTGCCAAATAAAAGAAAGAATTGATTTATTAGTACCAATGTCTGTATTTAAACTAACAAAAGCACCATGCCACTGCATTTTAAATTAGGCTGGAGGTGAAGCAGCGTTTGCCCCTTGTGAATCAGAAGTTTACTAAATACTAAATTTACTTGCTTTGCTTTTTAAAAAATACTTACTTAAATTTACTAATCTTTGTAAGCAGTTGAATTCTAGTAAAGTAAATTCTTCTAAAAAGTTACTGATGGCTTCCCATGATCCCTCTGTATATGCAAATAAGCCGAAAGGGAATGCTGTTTAAAAATATTATTTTAAATTTAATAAAAAGGAGAAATTTTAATATTTTGAAATATCTTCCACTAATATTTAAAGGATAATCTAATGATTTGCTGTTAAAATACCAAATCTGAAAATAAGTACAGTCACCATAAATGTTTAATGACTTTGACTTGGAATACATGGCCTTGCGGCACTATCAGTCAACATCCAAGAAGTAACCCTATAGTTACTTGGTGTAAAAAAGACTTTTCTTTTTTAAGTTAAAGTTCTTCAAGTGTAATCCAGGAGGATGACAAACCAGACAACCAACAGCCCAGAGACCACCTGGGGCACGGTAAAGTGAAGTATGGTAACAATTAATTCAGGTAAAAACTATAAATTTCATATGTCTTAGAAGGCACATTTTTCCTTTACCTGGGAATGACAGCACAGCTATCCCAAACTCAGAAGGCTCCAGTTAGCGTGTCAACTCAGTGCTCTGGAGACCCAGAACTGTAATTTAGATAGCACACTGTCTCTGCTTCTGTAAATTTCTTCTTTTTTTTGAAAACTAGGTTCCTCATTCCAAACCTTGAGGTTAAAATTAAGTTGTCATGACCTAGAGCAAAGAATATTCTTACATGGTATTATTCTACAAAGTTTTATTAATAATTTTTGATGCTTTACAACAGTATATTGTGCATTTATCCCAAACAAATTTACAAATGAATTTGAATGTTTTACATGAAGGGATTTATTCCTTTCCACTGTGTGGAGGGCCTCCTGGGGAAGGCACTTAAGCATTCTGTATTGACCTATCTTGACTTTTTTTGCCAAGAGGAATCCAATTGCCTACAGCTGTTATCTGAGCTCTCTGTTCAAGCTGGGATCATGAAAAGCTGGTACCATGGATCTGTCTCTTGCCCAATGGCGTAAGCTGGGCCCTCTCTGGAGAAGAAACCTGGGTTCCCTATGATCAATGCCGGAGCCCCGCCAGCAGGCGAGGGGATCCAAAGGCAGTTGCTGGGCATGGAGGCCAGAGGGACATAAGCTATCAAGGAGACAGAACTGAACCTCACATCACCCTACTTGACCCAGAGATAGCTGGTAGTCAATGATGGGTAAGACCCCACAGGGTGGGGCGACCTAAGACAGGCACAGCTGGGGGCCAGTAGGAGAAAACTTGGGGTGCAACAAAGGTGGGGCACAGATCCTCACCCCCCACCCCCAATGGTGCACGGGCTTGAACACTCGGCCCTTCTGAGGAAGGTCTCCTGTCCCCATGGCTGCTTCTTGCTTCCCATGCCCAGCCCAGATCAGGAACCAAATAGAAGAGATTTGGTCCAGCTGAAATCAGAATCCAGATAAACGGAGGCTTGGCTAACAGACCCTATGTCTAAATCTAGCCTAACAACAGGAATGCTCAGAGCCTTCACAAGGATGTAAAGTGATCCTTTCAATTGATATTTACAGTGTAAATTAACATCATTGTTGGAATATTAAATTTGACAGTAAAATAGTTGTCAAGTTTTCAAATTAATTAAATTTGGCTAACTTGAAATAAGTAATTATTCATATAGTATTAACCAAAATTTTCATTTCATGGTTAAATTGCTTAACATGCAATGAACCTAAAGCAGTCATATTTTTGTGCAGAAAAAATAAAAATTTAAAGTTATCTAGACTGCATTAAAAAATTTTCCATAAGCCTCCTAATTAAATCAAAAAAGGGGGATAGTGGAAGAATACCATGTAAGGAAAAATATCATGTAACTAAATTGCATCTAGAAAAAATTTTTTTTTCATTTTGTAATGCTAACAGCAAGACACCCATGAAAAAACATATGTGGTGTCAAAATAAGCCAAAGGAAAATCATTTGGGCAAATATAAAAAGGATTCCCCAAGTAAAATTTCCTTTATTAACCTTTGGTCGAGAATATGTTTGTATACTTTCAGAGAACAACTCCTAGACCATGTGGATTCCCGTAACAATGGATCACAGAAAGCCAGCCACAAAGACAGAAGAGACAGTTCAGAGATGGAGATGGTGGAAGACGCCTTGCCATGCTAGCAGTCAGCAGCTGTGCGTCGCTGCAGGGTGCCCAGGACCAGACCAGAAAGGACCGGACCTGCATTTTCCACCATCCAGAACCAACATTTCATTGCTGGCATGTACACAGGAACTGTCGGACATTGAAACTTGGACTCAGAACTGTTGGACATTGATTTTGGGACTTAAACATTTTTTGTTCTTACATGTTTATTTCTGGTTTTTTAAGGAAAAAATAAGGGGGAGATGTGGGAAACTGTTTATTGCCTTCACTATCTGATAAGCATAGACAGAGAACTCCCCGAAACCCCCCGAAGGCTGGGTACCTTTGAAGCCCTAGCAAAGCTCGGAGCTAGGCGCCACCTCTGTTTGTCCAGACAGTGGTAGCTGAAACTGCTCCCCCATTTATTATTATGTAAATCCTTGCTGATGGGCTAGTCTGCCTGTTGCCAGGGGTCACCTGCCTAAGGGCTATGCTATGGGTGCATCCCAGATCAATAAAAGCTTGGTGAGGCCTGAGCACGGAGGAAGTCCTTCGGGACTTGTCGCCTGGGCCCCCAATATTGCAAAATTATCTCGTGTCTTTTTCTCTCATTTGCTGTGCGGCTCCTCTTTCAGGTACCGAACCCTACTCCACGCGGGTCGTGGAAGGAAACACTCGACAGACCACCACCAGGGAGCCAGCCGAGTCCGATGCAAAAGCAAAGAGTCTTTTATTCAAACCTTGGCTTGGCTCCCCTACCCTCCTTACTGGCACAGCAGCAAGTGGCAGAGAGAGCTAGCCCGGTGGGAAGAGAAGTTTTATAGGGGGGTGGAGTAAGGGGAGGAGAGGGGACTGCGGGCCCTGCCGATTGGCCAGGCGCAAGTCGGTGTCTCGCTACACAGGATGTGGCAGCCCTAACCGGTTTGGCTCAGTGGATAGAGCGTTGGCCTGCGAACTGAAAGGATGTGGTCATATCTATGGTGTGCACTTCCCTTGATTGTCATTGGTTAGTTTAGAGAAATCCTGGGTGTGACTAGCAGAGGCTTGGGCTTCCGGGAAGAAGCCTTGCTGAGCACATAGCTCTACCGAAAAATGGAGGATTCGGGGCAAGATGGAGGGCGTAGCCCTCGCCCTTTCAGCAGTCAGATCCTATATGTTCTTGTTAAAAAGTATTCTGGATCATTTCTAATTTTTGAGCCACCATGATCCTAGTCTTTTTACTGTTTGTCTTAAGTTTTGCTTTTCTGCAGCTACATGTAACAGTTACATATCAGGAACAAAAGTAACAATATTAAACCAGTAACACTGATTAAGAACAGAAAATGTCTAATACTAGACAAGGAAAAGTCTAAGGGGAAAAAGCATCCCAGCCAACTGAAAAACCCTTTACATGTATTATCCTAATTTTTTAGGCTAATTATATGTTTTCCTCCTCATTCACTATCATTTGTACCTTATGATATGTTTGGCCAGATGAATTAAGACTCTCTACTATTTCATTATCTAGAAGTTTTAATTTTTCTTCTGGCCAGTTAATTTTATCCATTCCTATATTTAGGCAATATTCATCTAAAATACTCATCTAGATTAGATCTACATATTATTCTACCAGGGGAATTATTAGGGAAGTGCTCTTGGAGAGGTTTGTCCAAGGTAGGTCCTTTATAATAGATACTAGAGGCCCAGTGCACAAAACTCATGGGGGGGGGCGGTGTGGGGGTCCCTCAGCCCATCCTGCACCCTCTCCAATCCGGGACCCCTGCTGGCATTGAAGGTCGAATTAATATTATTCAAAAAGGGAAGGTAAATGGGAGGCAGTCAGATCCTACATGTCCTTGTTAAAGATCATTTCTAATTTTTGAGCCACCATGATCCAAGTCTTTTTGCTGTTTGTCAAGTTTTGTTTTTCTGCATCTAGCATAACATTTACATACCAGGAATAAAAGTAACAATAATAAACCAGTAACATTGATTAGGAACAGAAAATGTAGGGGAAACAAATATCTGCTATTATCCAGAAGTTTCCGTTTTTCTTCTGGGCAGTTAATTTTATCCTTTCCTATATTTAGGCAATACTCATCATAGGCAATCATCAGAATATCACTGTCTAGTAGGTGGAAAATTTTTCATGTCTAATAGGGAAAGAGTTCTAGAGAGACAAATATTGTTTCCACTAAGAAACCATAAGGAGGATCGTGACAGTATAAAAATCATTTGTATATACGTACAGTCAATGACAATTAGGGGATATAAGAACAAGGTTTGAGCAGCATCAGTCTGTGGGCACACAGCCCTGTTGACGTCTGGGGATGGCTGTCAACCTCCTCCATAGTCGGCGGCTTCTCATCCTTGAGATGAAGGCGAGTGTCAGAGCCCTTTTCATGGACTTTTCTAAAGATATAATATACCTACAAATGCATCAGAATAAAGCAACAGCTGTTCATGAATGACAAAATTTAGAAGTGGCATGGTAATAGATTTGATAAAACTTTGCTTTTCTATAAAATATTCCAAAACAACAATTTCTTGGTAAATAATAATTCCTGTAAAATGGCATAGAGAATAATATAAAATTTGTATACTTTTAGATTCAATTATAATTTCATGCAAATTAAAAATATCCCGAGTATCACTGGCAGATGCCCCCACAGAGAATCATCACTCTTGACTTGCCTGGTGTCCCTGACTGGACACATGCTACCCCCCTGAAAATTTCCTCTTTGAACCTATCTCTGAATCTTTGCAAGTTCCTTTCTGAAGCCAACTGAAATTTCTATAACATTCATCTCAACAAAATATATGTATATAAATAGAACATAGTTACTAATTTTTATTTGACAAAGCTTCCCATGTAATATCAAGTATATTAAATCGGCCTAATTAAGTTCAAAAAATATTTCTTTTAAGAAGAGAGAATAAATCCTTGAGTCATTCCAGGACCCTTGGAGTCAACCTGGAATGCAGTCCATTCTTATTCAAAAACTGCATTATCATGGAAGCATTAACCGTGTTGCCCAACTCAGCCTGTATAGTTTACTTCCCCATGCCTGTAATCCCTACTTCCCCCTGTGATCTTTGTCCCCATATTCATAAACAAGGGAAGAGCAAACCAAAACCCCTAAAAGGTAGAAAGCCAACATTATATTGCAGACAAACAGAAATCTCACCAGCTGTTTCTGGTGGCTGAACCCTGAGAGGGAGAGCAAGAAGAGCCCCCAAGATTAAGAGTCCTTGGCAGCTGCTAGGACATTCCTGCAATCTCTCTCACACTTTCAACCCTACAACACACAGCTAGGCTTCCCCATAGCAGGACTTGCCTCTTCTTTAAACAAATTAAACAACAACAAAGAGACACAAAACATCAACACTTTTATACAGGCACACAGAACACACCAAAAGTTTACACCAGAGAATGTCTAGCATTAAACATTACCAGAGCAATGTCTTTTGTCTCTGGTTCGGGAACTGCCCCTCTCTAGAACCTCAGCATTCTCCCAATGGACTATTTAAAAAATGGGCTGGGGTCTTTTCTAGTTGCCTCTACCGCCCTTTGTCTGGAGGAAACTTCCTAGAACATGTGCCATTGGCCACGTGTCTCCCAATCCCCACATGCTGTTTGCTCTGGGGAAATTCAGTAATGGCCTGGCCACATGCTGTTTCTTTTCTATGAAGATAAATCAGGGGGGAAACGGGGTGTAGACATTTATTAACTTCAGAATAGTTCTGGGACAGTCTCTATAATTTTTTATTAATTTTCATCTTTTTGGAAGAATTTTTCTCTATGCTTTTCCTTAGAAGCTTCTAATTTCCAAATCAAGATATGCTTCCCATATAGTCATTCAGTTTAATTTCAAGCCGGCATTTTCTAATTTCTGCATGCAAAATATTAATGTAGGTACCCAAAACAAACAGCATTTTGGCCATTTCTAAGTTGATATTTTCTAGTTAAACCTTCCCATTTCTGTAAAATACTTGCAAGTAAAGGCTTCCTATCAGGTGTATTAAATGAGGGCTGGGGTTTGGGGAGCTTTTGTCCTTGGAGGCACAATCCCATGTTTTTTTGTTTGTTTTTTTAATTTTGGATATCTGTAGTCTGAGCAAACTTTCTAGACATGTTAAGTAGTGGGTCAGGTGTGGCTTCAGTTTCTCTCCCGGCTGTCTACAACCACAGGAAAGGTTCAGGGTCCAGGCAGACCAAGCCTTATGGTGGCCCTCTAGATGAGCCATTTAGTTAATTACAGTTGTGTTGGGACTTCCTTATGGGGCTCCTGCATTTCTGACACCTCCACAAAGATTCTTAGTCACCTAAGAACACCCCAGAATCGGACTGGAGGGAGGATGTGCCCCTTTATGTTCGAAGCTGAATGAGTTCAGCTCATTTATATGGCAAAGGTTATTTTTGCTCAGACTCTCAGCAATTCCAATTGAAAAGCCAAAATAAAAACCGGCCACCCATTTTCTCTACCAAAGCAAAGGAAGGTCCTGGATCCAAGAGACAACTCACCCGAGTTCACCCAATGGGCGGAGAACCTGCGGGCTCAACGGTCCCTTTGCTGGATCCTAGTTAGTGAGCTTCTTTGGAATCTTTCTGTGACTACGCCAAGTAATGTCAACGTAAAAACCATTGAAACCTGTAAAGAATTTTTGTGAGTTTATTTGAGCTAAACTGTCAACATATGCCAGAAAGCATATGATAATGCTCAGGAGATTGGTGGGTTACATCTGTATTTATACATTGCAATCAAAGCAAAGGGACATAGGTGGGTTACATGAAATCCATTGGTGATAGACTAGAGAGGCGGGAGAAAGCAAAGTGGGAAACCACTAGGCTTGGATAAAAGTAAAATGATGGACACATACTTAGGTGGGTGCAGGAACAATTAACATGATGAGGGAATTTGTGGTATCCTGGCACCCAGCACATTAGGTTGTGCCCCAAGGGGTCCAGAAAAAGGGAAGTTACAAGTTACCTAGACATTTCAAAGGGTATCTATACTAATAAAAGGTTAATATACTAATTAGACCAGGAGACCTTCCAGATGTCCTTCCGGACAACGTCATGGTAGTGGGGCCGACGCTGAGGCAGTTAGGGGTGATCAGGCCGGTGGGGGGGGGGGGGGGGACGAGCAGTTGGGGGTGAGCAGGCCAGCAGGGGAGGCAGTTGGGGGTGACCAGGCTGCCAGGCAAAGTGGTTAGGGGCAATCAGGCAGGCAGGTGAGCAGTTAGGAGCCAGCAGTCCTGAATTGCGAGAGGGATGTCCAACTGCCGGTTTAGGCCCGATCCCTGTGGGCCTAAACCAGCAGTCAGACATCCCCCGGGGGGGGGGGGTCCCAGATTGGAGAGGGTGCAGGCCGGGCTAAGGGACACCCCCTCCCATGCACAAATTTCATGCACTGGGAGCTAGTGTCATTATAGATGCAAAACGACAGATAGGCTCAGTTAAGGTAAAGGTTGACCTTGTCAGTGAAGATGCAGGCCTAGGACGTAACCGCCCGCCATGACTGCTTTTAGTTACAGTTTAATGTCAGACCACCCTTTGTGGTGACTTCAGGTCTCTGCGTCTGCAAGCCTGTCCACAGCCTCAGGCAGGCAGGATGGGAATAGACGCTCGCAGGAGCCACAGTCTCTGCTGCGTCGCAGGCACCAGCGCCCTGGGTTGTCCGGCTTCACTTCGATCCCGCGACTCTCACCCAAACCCCAACATGACCTCAGACGGGCGTCCCACAGCCCAATGGCAACAGACGCCCACGCGGGTGGGCAGGGCCTCGCGTGGGCAGGGCGAGCGGGATTCGCTGGTGGGCGGGAGATCCGCCGTGGGCGGGAACAGCGTGGGGATTGGGCCGGCGCGCCGGAAGTGCTGTGTGGGGCCTCCGACTCGGGCGGCCGGGCACCCGGAAGCGCTCGCCCCTTCCGTGTGTGTCGCTGGTGCGCAGCCGCCGGGACGCGGGGCGGGCTCCGTCAGGGCCTCGGGGTGCGCCTGCTCCTGCCGTTCCCGCCGCCGGAGGCGCCGCGCTGCGCGGAGAGCACGATGCGGCTGGGCTGCGGGGCCTTCGCCGCCGGCTGCGTGGTGATCGAGGTGCTGGGGGTCGCGCTCTTCCTGCGGGGGTTCTTCCCGGCGCCCGCGCGCCCCGAGCCCGAGCCCCCGGCGGCGCCCGCGGCGCCCGAGCCCATGGCAGGTACGGCCCGCTCCGCTCCGGGCCCTCGGGTCCCGGCCCCCTGGTGCTCAGGGAGTCACCGCAGATGACGACGCCTGCGGACCGCGCCCTCTGACAGCCGCCAGGCCCCTGGCACCGTCGCGACGCCCGCCCGGCGGGCCCCCTTCTTGGTCCGCCCCGCCCGCAGCCCCCGCCGGGGAGAGGCCCCGCTCTGCCAGGTCCGCCCCGCGGGGCCGCCGAGCGTGCGGACAGTTGCTGGAAGCTGCCCTTCCGCAGCGAAGCGCGCGCTCGGAGGGCCAGCGCCTGCCCCTGCCATTGCAGGGCCCTCGCCCGGAAGGGCCCGCGGGGAGGGCTCGCTCCTCGCCCGCTGAGGGCGGTTCATCACTGGGTCCCGGGCTCCTGCGCTACGTGGGGGAGCCCCCCCCGGGGAGGGCACTGTTCTCGGGGTCGGTACCGACAGGTATGGCGGGGTAGGTGCCAGAGACGTGGGCAGAAACTGGGTTATAGGTGATTGGATGCTAAGTCACGTGTACAATTTTCTTTTTTCAAACCCTGTTAGGAGCCAGTTCCAATTGGACCGAGCGCCCCCCGCCTCTCTTCAGGAAAGTCGTTATTATGCTGATCGATGCCTTGAGAGATGATTTTGTGTTTGGGTCAAAAGGTGTGAAGTTTATGCCCTACACCACTTACCTTGTGGAAAAGGGAGCAGCTCACAGTTTTGTGGCTGAAGCAAAGCCGCCTACAGTCACCATGCCTCGAGTCAAGGTAAACGGTTTCACATCGTGTTTTATAAATCACTAGACCCAGATGCACGAAACTCACGGGAGGGGCTCAGCCCTCGCAGCCCGCCCAGCCCGGCTTTGTCCGGTAGAATGTCCGGAGGTTGTTCTGCTGTTCGGTGTAATTAGCACATTAGCTCTTTCGTATCTAGGACGGTTTGGCTCTAAGAGGTTCAGAGGGCTCTCTATAGTCTGTTACCTGTCCACATTGGAAATGCATTCGGTGCCGTCAGCCTGGCTGGGGCAGCCTGACAGATAAGGCAGAACTGAGGCCACCATGTGTACCCCTTTCCAAGTAGCCAGGGTTCAAGCTTCCTGGGCGGCATAAGGGGTTGAAAGCCAGATGATCCGGGCCGGCCTGGTCTCAGGGACGCCCTCCTCCTTGCTACCCTGCTGTTTTCTCTAATGGCCATCAGGTCGGTTATAATCCTGGAAAGGCGTAAGGGTGATCTCGTTCAGTCTCTTGACTTTATCGATGCAAAGGGAAACTCAGACTTGCCCCGCACCCAGGCATACAGTGACTGACCCTGCAGGGTCTGGCCTCCCCAGTTCTCGCTGTGTCTGCTGTGTAACCTGCCTGCAGCTGCTTGGCCTAGTGAGTGTGGCTTTCGAGTGCCTAGTGCTTCCCCCAGGAACTATGGGTAAAGGACAGACTAAAGCTTTATTAGGGACCATTTCCGAAGGAGGGAACAGGCTTGACGTACCCAAGTCACGCAACTGGATTGGGGACTGGAGCACAAGGCTGCCTGGCTCCAAAGACTGGGTGTCACGAGGCAGCACACAGCCGCACTGCCGAGCAGGGAGACTAAGCCAGGTCCTTCTCAGAAGGCAAGAAACCACCCTTCCCAAGGCCATGGCAGCCACAGGAACCTCCAAGGACATGACAGACTGAGTTCTCCCTTCACCCTTCCTCGGGCCCCCAACTGCAACTCGGTCGCTCCCTGCATGCTCCCTGGGGTGACAGCCCAGAGGGGAAGAAGAGTTCCATAAGGCAAGAAATTGCAGTGTCCGTTAAACTTGTGAAAAGGTTCTTTTTACTTTACTAGTAATCATAGCAACGCAAATTAAAACCATCTGCAAGGTTTTGTCTATCACCTTGTAAAAATTTAAAGATTGATGATAACCTACTCTTCACGAGAAAGAAGGTGAACAGGCGTCTTAATTCTGAGACTGTAGCTGGACTGAGCCACCTCCCTCCTCCAGTCCAGTGTGGTCTCTGGCTCGTGCCCTCGACTTGGTGCCCCCCACTGTGCCTACTCACCCAGGCCTCATGGCAGTCATGCCCGTTCACCTCCCCCTCGTCCGAGCTACTTTCCTCTTTCATGATCACACATAGCTTGGCTCCCATGCACACTGCCCTCTGGCCTCAAGCCTTTGCAGTTACTGTGTCTCCCTAGGAAGGCCCCAACTCATCTCACCTAGACAACACTTCAGTCTCAGGTCTCAGCTCAAATGGTACTTCCATTGGAAACTTTTTAAAGAAAGTATCCATTAAAATGGTCTTGGTTAAATATATTGTGCATTCAAATACTAAAAACATAGCCCCGGCTGGTGTGGCTCAGTAGATAGTGCCAACCCTCGCACTGAAGGGCCGTGGGTTCGATTCCCGTCAAAGGCACATACTGGGTTGCAGGTTCCATCCCCGGCCCGGTCGGGCATGTGCAAGAGGCAACCAATCGTGTCCTTCTCACATGTTTCTCCACCCCCCTTTTCCCATCTTTTTTAAAAAAAGGAAAAAATATCCTCGGGTAAGGGTTAATAAATATTTGTGTGTGTGTGTGTTTGTGTGTGTGTGTATGTGTGTATATATACATATATGTGTATATGTATATATACACACACATAAATTTATATGTAGTTTTTATAGCTGTTAAAAAAAAGATAAAGTAGCTATTTGTTTTCTGGGGAAAGGAATCGGTGGTCTGTTATTAATTGGAAAATAAAACCAAGTTGTAAAATTATTTACATAGTTTGTTACCATTTTGGTGAAAAATGTATCTTTGTATATTTTTGGTTGTACACCTACAGAAGAAAGTATGAAAGGGTACTTACCAAAAATAACCAGTTATCTTTAGGAAGTAGAATTTGGGGTAAGAGAGAGGCTCACATTTTGAGAAATAACTTTAGCCCTGGCTGGTGTGGCTCGGTGGATAGAGCGCCAGCCTGCAGACTGAAAGGTCCCAGGCTCGATTCCAGTCAAGGGCACATGCCCGGGTTGCAGGCTCGATCCCCAGTGGGAGGTGTCCAGGAGGCAGCCAATCAGTGATTCTCTCTCATCATGGATGTTTCCATCTCTCTCTTCCTCTCTGAAATCAATAAAAATATATTTTAAAAAAAGAAAAAGAAATAACTCTAGCCCTGGCCAGTGTGGCTTGGTTGGGTGTCCTTCCTCTGCACCGGAGAGTCGCTGGTTCAATTCCTGGTCAGGACACACGTCCTGGTTGTGGGCTCCGGCTGGATGTCTCACTCTTACCTCTATTGCATCGAGCTTATGGAAGTCCATCACACCTGTCTTCATCTCTCTAGAAATCAATTTAAAAAATCTTAAAAGGAATACCTTTATGGAGATAGAATTTTTGTCCAATCCAGCACATGCATTTGTATGTGTATAGCTGGACGAGACATAACGTGTGTAGAGCCATGCCCCCTCCTCCACTCGAGATCGACCCTCACCCAGGAGTGGTGGCTGTCGTCGCTGTTGTTGTGTGTGGGGCGTGACCTGCCTGGACTAGGCCTGGAGAGTGTCTCCCTGAGTGCAGGGCAGCTGATGTCTCTAAGGTCGTTTTTCCAATTCTTGTTTTTAGTTTTAGGCTAGTATTTCCAGGGGCCACTCAGGGTCAGCACAGGTTAGCAATTGCTCAGAAGTTGTGCATAAAGACCTAGTGTGGTGAGGCTACCACCCTTCGTGGGGTCATGTGTGGACGGGCCACGTGCTCACTGGTCAGGGACTGACGCGTCCGCCCTGATTCTCACTTTCTCTGTGAGGAGGCCTTCTGCCCAGCCAGCAGGAGCTAGGAAGTCGGCCCTCCCTCTCCAGTCTCCTGAGGGTCCACGCAGCCTTCCAGGTGCCAGGAAGAGGTGGCGCTGACGGGGGCCACTACACCTGTCTCGTTCCTCCAATCCCCCCTTTTTTTAAAATATATTTTATTGATTTTTTACAGAGAGGAAGGGAGAGAGATAGAGAGTTAGAAACATCGATGAGAGAGAAACATCGATCAGCCGCCTCCTGCACATCTACTGGGGATGTGCCCGCAACCCAGGCACACGCCCTTGACCGGAATTGAACCCGAGACCTTTCAGTCCGCAGGCCGACGCTCTATCCACTGAGCCAAACCGGTTTCGGCTCCAATCCCCTTTTAAAGTGTGGGCTGGTCTCTTACCACAACTAGCACGGCGCCTCGGGCCGCTGTTGATGTGGCCTCGCCATGGATGCCATACCCTTGCGTGGCACTGTCCCCTGGAGCCAGCTCCAAGTCGAGGGCCCTCCTGTCCTCTGCGCCTGCAGCACAGCCAGGGCGCAGCCCCGTGGAAGCACTGTGGTGCTCACAGAGCTCTGAGACTGCCATTTGTCTTGAGTAAGAACTTCTCAATGGATTGTCTATCCTTGGTGAGTTTTCGGAGTCCCCAAATGGTGGTTTTGACAGTTTTATCCAGTGTCATCTTGCTCTTGGGGGAGAAGAGTGGGCGAACTTGCATGCGTTCCAGACGCCCAGAACACGCACCTGTCCGTTTGCTGTTGGAGAAGTCTTGGCAGTTGCCCCTTGGGTGTGACCCGATTCCTGTTGATTTGCATTGCACAGGCCAGGACACTTGTGCTGTGTGTTGTTGGGAGATACAGACCGTGCCCCATCGATGCGGCCTCTTGGACTCCTGGCTAAAATGAGGGAGGTCACAGGAAGGTGTGACGATGTCACACCCCCTCCCTGTCCCAGAAACTGGTGCCATGTGGTGGGGGCGGGGAGGGGTCCCC